ACCAGAACATGGCCCGTGCTTAAACAGGAAGAGAGCTGACACACACGGGACCTTGAAACAAGCCAGTCACAGAAGAATAAATATTGTGTGATTCCACTTATATAAGGTACTTAGAGCATAAAATTCACAGAGACCGACAGTAGAAGGTGGTTACCGGGGGCGACAAGGGAGGGCGGGGGAGGGGAAGTTAATGTTTAATGGGACGGAGTTTCAGTTGGGGAAGATAAAACGTTCTAGACACACGTGATGGCTGTATGACCGTGAGAATGTGCTTAATGTGACTGAACCTTACATTTAAACATGGTTAAAATGGTAAAAAAAAAAATTACATAAAAATAAATAAATTAAATAGCATGAGTAGGTAGCAGAAAACAACAAAGACTTCAAACTCTGGTGTTACTTCCTACAGAAAATACAACAAATAATGCGGGAAGTTTAAAGAAATAAAATAGACCCTCAGCAGCGTGACTGAGGAACAAGAGAGGGTCAAAAGAGGAGAGAAGGTTTGAAAAAACCGCAACGATAACGTCCAGAAATGTTTAACAAAAATCTAAAATTGCGCAGAAGGTTTAAAATCAGATTATAATAACTAGGGAGTAATGAGTAAACTCGGCAAATAATTATGAAGAAGTTATCCGGAATGCGGCAGGTAGAAACAGAGAGGTGGAAAGTGTAAAACAGAAAAGGAACAAGGAGATCGGGAGGCTGTAGTGACAAGGTCCAGCTCAACTCTGACCAAGAATTCGTAGGGAATTACAGGGAAGAGTGCAGGAAAGGGACTGATCACAGACGTAACTCAGAGTTTCTCAGGTTTTACAAACCAAAAGTGGGGGCACCTGGGTGGCACAGTCAGTTGAGTGTCTGACTCTTGGTTTCGGCTCAGGGTCCTGATCTCAGGGTTGTGGAATCGAGCCCTGGTTCCGACTCCACGCTCAGGATGAAGTCTGCTGCAGACTGTCTCTCCCTCTCCCTCTGCCCTCCCCACTCTGCGTGCATGTGCTCCATCTCTCTCTCAAGTAAATAAATCTTTAAAAACAAAAGTGTGAATTCTGGGACTCAGAATTCTTTAAAATAATTCCTCAGGAAGAATTTTTTAAGGGAAAATAGATTCATACACACCCACATTCAGAAGTAAAACTTCAAAACACCAAAGAAAGGGGAAAGATCTTAAAAGCCGTCAGAATCGGTTACATTTTTTTTTAAAGATTTTATTTATTTTTTTTGTCAGAGAGAGCAGAAGCATGGAGAGCTGCAGGCCAAACATGCAGAGGGGGAAGCAGGTTCCCTGCCAAACAAGGAGCCCAATGTGGGACTCCATCCCAGGACCCTGGAATCATGACCTGAGCCGAAGGCAGATGCTTAACCAACTGAGCCACCCAGGCAGCCCAGAATTGGTTACATTTCGTTAAAGGAAGAATTGTCTATCCAGTGAAACTATTTCTCTCAAGCTGGGTATAATAAAGAATATTCTGATCAAGATAAAGTGAGAAGGTTTACCACCAAGAGACCTTTACTTTTAAAGAAATTAGAAAGGATATACCTTAAGGAAGAAGAAAAAGCAGTATCAGAAAGAAGCCCAGAATTATAAGAAGAAAAGGAGAGCTTTTTGTTCTTAATAAAAACATGAGCAAATCTAAGCAAACATTGAGTACACACAAAAGAATAAGATATCTAATTTGAGAAGTTAAAATAAACCAAGACAGAACCTGAAATTTAAGACAAGGAGATCGTATAACAAGGAGCATTCCAAAGGCATTATATTTTTCAGATAGAGGATAGGATATCAATTACCTTTAGAATTGTTTGATTAAGTGTACAAGTGTCTTTTTTTTTTTTTTAAGATATCAAGTGGATTGGGGCGCCTGGGTGGCTCAGTGGCTTAAAGCCTCTGCCTTCGGCTCAGGTCATGATCCCAGGGTCCTGGGATCAAGCCCCAAGTCTGCTTCCTCCTCTCTCTCTGCCTGCCTCTCTGCCTACTTGTGATCTCTGTCAAATAAATAAATAAAATCTTTAAAAAAAAAGATACCAAGGGGATAAAAATAATTATTAATAAAAAATAATAAAATAAATAATGATAATAAAATAATAATTAATCAAAAATAATAATAAATCAGAAATCCTCATGAAGGGGTGGCCTCTAGAGGGGCTGGGAGAGAAATGAACTCAGCGGGTAAATACCGAAGAAGTTCATAGCAGCTCCTAGCGTTGAAAACGAACAGTTGTGATGTCTCCTTCTTACCTGAGAAGGGATTTTTTTAAATAAGAGTTGACAGTTTCTCCTAAACCTTCATTGCACATGTTTTATGAACAGTTCTTTTGTTCGGAGTCTCCAGGGCCTTCTTTGCTCGGTTTGAGACAATGGGGTTTTACCAGTCAGATATCCAGAAGCATATCCGAAGAGACCGTGCTCTTCGCAGTGGCAAGAAATAGTGAAGGAACGCTGGGATGGTTTCCCAGGAAGTTTGCCCAACTGCCCCTGCCCTGGGTAGCTAACGGAGCGGAGGGTGGGGAAATCGCCAGGTGCCTCCCAGACTGAGCAAGGACAGACACCACCCACGTCACTACATCCGCAGGATGGAGCTGAGCCAAGAAAGTCCCAACCCGGTCCCTAAGGAGCCCTGCCCTTCATCCCTCTTCCAGGTCCCAGGCCCTCCCAGTCCAGCAGTCCAGGCTACGCCAGAGGGGGGAGTCGAGCTCCAGCCAGTGCAATTTTAAAAATGAACAGCACCGGGTCTTGAACACTAAATGTGAGGCCATTTCCAGGTAATAGAATCTGGAATCTGGTCCTGATGCTAAAGGACCTCATATCCAACAAGAAAATGGGGAGTTGACAAAACACAGTTAAAAGCAGGGATTAGAGGGGTGTCTGAGAGGCTCAGGGAATTGAGCCTCTGGCTCTTGATCTCAGCTCAGGTCTTGATCTTGAATTCGAGCCCTGCATTGGGCTTCAAAACAAAGTAAAGCAGTGATTAGAGAATGAGGCCATTTCCTGTTTATACTCTGGTTTTAAATCCTCCAACAAATACAAACCGGCTTGGGATTACTTGCCTGACCCCATGTCAGGTTCCGGAGGTTGTTTCCATCTGTATATACACAGTTTCAACACCAAGATGGAGCCATGCAGACAGACCAATAACTGGGGGCTTTTCTAAGTAAACAAAAGCAGGAGAGAAGGGTTTGGCATCTGATTTCCTACAAAAAAGGACAAGATTCAGAAACTTCCAGGGCTAGTCACGGGATGGGGAGAAAAGGGCCAGAGAGAGGGAGCAGCACCACCTTCCCTCAGAGACTTAGCAACTTCCAGGGGGAAAAAAGAAGTTGCCAGACTCCGACATTAAAAGACTATTTCATGCAAAAACATCCAAAAAACAAAACCAAACAAACAAAAAACCAAAAAACTACCAAGCTGACATTTATTTACATGATATTTAGTATGAAAAATGAAAAACATTTCTATCTGATCTGGCCATAAATGGACTGGTATAGAAACACTGGTGCACAGAAATTAACAGCATCTACCGAGTTCTCACAAAGAATTAAAACGAAATGATGAAATGCAAGGAGGTTCGTTCCATATCTGAATATGCCCAGCAAGTCAGCCACGTAGGATCATCTCTCCCCACGCCTCTCAAACTGCACTCAGCCCAGGAAGGACCACCTTGTGCATCTTGTGAAAATGGAAATTTTGATTCAGTGGGTCTGGGGTGGGGCAGAGTGCGTATCTCCAGCCAGCTCTCCAAGTCGCCCCGAGTTGCCTATGCCACAGGCCAGGCAGATTCACACTTGAGGCTCCCGTCCATCACCCGATAAAACTAGCCACTCCCCCCCCCACGCCCCTGGGGTTCCCAGAAGACCTGGTAGTAAAGCTTTCAGGCTTTGTGACCCATTCAGTCTCCGTTAAGACTGCTCACCTCTGCCCTTGGAGCGTAGACAGTGTGTGAGCAAATGGCTGTGGTTGTGTTTCAATAAAATTTTATTTAGAGAAATAAGCGACAGACCGGATTGGACCCTCAGGGTGAAATTTGCCAACCCCTTTCCAATACTCTGAACATACTTCTGGGGCATCTCTGTGGCCTTTTCTTACACAAGCTTATTTACAAACCTCTGTCTACGGACTAGGCGGCGAGGGAGCCCTGGGGAGAGAGACGCAGGCCTGCTCTGCACCTGCTCAGCATGGCCCCGTGAGGCAGCACTGTGCGGTGGGTGAAGGTGGGGCCTCGGGGGCAGTCTGCCTGGATTTGAAGACTAGTTCTTCCCCTGTGGTCTGCCAAGGAGGGATAAACCCTACCTCACGGAGATTTCATGAAGCCACACGGAGATGCTAGCCTCTCGACGGTGTTGGAATCAGAAGAAAAAAAAAGGCCAGAATAACAATCATTTGTTAATTCTAAAGACCATAACCTGCTTCCTTACCCTTCAGAAATGCTTATATCTGTATATGCATAGTATATATTAATAGAAGTATAAAGAAAATGAAAACTGTTTTTTAAATTCTTCATATCATTTAAAAAGAAAGTGAAAAATAATGCGGGGGTGTGTGAGAATGTGTGTGTTTGTGTGTGTGTGCATGTGTGCAGGTGTGGAGAGCGAATAAACTCTACTGTAGAAAGGAAGAAAGGAAGGAAGGAAGGGAAGAAGGGAGGGAGGGAGGGAGGGAGGGAGAGAGGGAAGGAGAAAGGAAACAGTCTTGTTTCATGCCTCACATAGTTCTATAACCCCCGCCCAGAAAGTTATAGTCAAAATTACAGATGCTTAAAGACAATCTCAGCAGGCAAAAAGATTCTAAGTGTATGAGAGTTACTTTCGCTTTACTTTGAACACAAGGAAATCGTAAAAAAGAAGTTTGCCACTTGGGATATAGAGTGGAACATAATTAAATTTAGTCTTACTGGGACCTTGTTTCCATATCTCAAACTGGCCCTCATTTAAAGCCAAACATATCAGCACAGAGAAAGGCATTTTCATGGCACACCATGAGCAGAAGCAAGGGAGACCACCTCTTTTCTGGCCAAAATTATTTTTCCTGTTGTTTCTGTTTAATCAGCATTGGAGAAAAGGTGACAACACCTGTTCCTTGAATTGAGGCCATTGGAGTGGGAAGAGGAGGAGGCTGGAACAGTGACCAAAGGACAGGCAAGTGGGAGAGGCAGGGCAGTGAGGGGTCCTGGGGAGGGGACTTTGTCCTCTCCAGAGGCCCTGGGCTACTCTGGCCGAAGGCATGCGGAGGCCCAGGCAGGCTCTGCAGCAGCTCACAGGATGACGGTAGCCACAGTCTTCTCCTTGGCAGGGGAGGAAGGCACTGAGTTTTCCCCCAGTAGCTTTTTCTCTGACCCTTCCTCATTCTGAAAAACAAAAACAAAAACAAGGGAAATCAATCATTGCTGGAGAAAAGATGGGGCCTAGTTAGCTTCCTAGAACTTGAAATCAGGTAAAAGAAAGAAGGAGGGGAAGGAAAAGGTACAGAGGAGGGGGAGCTACCCAGAGATCTGGGACAGGAAGCACAAAGGAGGTCCTGAAGGGGTGGAGGGCAGCAGCTAACCCAAACACGGTGCTAGCACACGCTCCCCAAATGGCAAAGGACACAGCTGAGTGCTGGAAAGAAGCTGAGTGATGCTCCTGGCCCTGATGTCCCTCCCTGTTCCCAGAGCGTCACCAAACAAACCCATTCTTTCCCCGGTCCCTCCCTGACAGCTCACCAGGGGCCGGGAGCTCTGGCCACACAAGCTTCGAAGCCCCATGCTCAGGGAAGCCAAGGATATGATCAGCTGCAGGACACAGACAGCCAGGAGCAGAGCACAGATGCCTAGGAACAAATCCTGGAGATGCAGGAAGCAAAATGACACAGTCAGGAGTCTGCTCCTCTGATTCTGCTCTTGCTATCACCTTATCAACCCGGCCAGATACCAGACTCTGTCCAACTGACCAGTTTCCAACCATGGGGCAGCCATAGCATCCACCCCATTGGCTTGTCTGCCATGTGACCTGACCACACCCTGTGAAGAGCTGGGTCTATTTCTCCACCCTTAGAATCTGGAACAGCTTGTAACTGTTTTGCACAACAAGGTACAGTGGAGGTGACACTAAGCCAGTCATAGGGGTAGCCTCTCATTGGCCTGGTGGCTTCCATTTCCCACCTCCTGAAATATTCGCAGTGAGAGACTTCCTGTTGGAAGCTAGTTGAGATGCCAGGAGAAGCCCAAGCCAGATGGAGAAGCCATTGTAGGCTCTCTGGTGGACAGCCTCGTTGAGCTCCCAGCCATGTGAGCGCCATCTTGGACATCCCGCCATCTTGAAGATCCGACCTGATCAAGCTCTCAGATGGCCTCACCCCCAACCCCCACTGACGTCTGACTGCAACTGCATGAGAAAACCCAAGGGAAGACTGCTTTGAGCCCAGCCAGCCCACAGACTGGGAGAAGTAATGATATATGACGACCCTCAGCCACAGCATGTTGGGTGTTGTGTTATGCAGCAGTAGGTAACTAGGACAGCTGCATACCGGTAAAGATAGAAGGATGTTCCGTGACATCCTCATTAACTGCTCTTTGCACGTCATCCCCTTTGAGTCAGAAATTCTTATGCCATGAGGGTCTGAGAAATGTCTCCAGCTTAAGTTAAAACCTCCTGAACCACAGACTAGGATGAGGCCCACACTCCAAGAATCTACGTCTCTGCCTGCTAGTGCCCCAGCTCCTTGGGAACAGACCGTTGTGTGGGTCCCGGAAGACTGGACCCCGTTCTCACCATCAGCATTTGCATGTAGGCTCTGCAACTCTCTTCATTCCACCATGATGTGCGAGTCCTTTGCCACCTCTCTTTGTACCCAGCAGTCGTGCTGGGAAGATCTGGGGAGTCACAGGCGGAATCGATGTAAATGAAACCATCAATTGGCATGGTCAGGCTGTTCACACAGAGGACAAGGGCAGCCACGGCCGTGGCGACACTGGCCAGCGTTAGCAGACCTGATGCACAGCCCTAGAAGGGAAAAGTGCAGGGTACAGAACCTCCTTAGTGAGAGCCATGAGGTCCTGGCCCCAAACCTGTCTCTTCTTCCTCACTTCCTTCCCCAGGAAGCCCTCCCCAGCCCTCCAGATAAGATCCTGAGACATTACGAACCAAAAGGAAGAAGACAGAAACATAGAGCAGAAAAACAGAATAGGAGGGGGCAGAGGACACCCAAGACTCACGGAGAGTTTGCCCCGGTGCTTCTCATGGACGATGGCCCCAGCTCCTGCTACAATAGCCTGAAGAGAGAAGACGCCAGAAAAGGCCTCTAGTTTACTCTCCTGAAGCGACCACCCCACCCATTCCCAGGAGCCGATTCGAAGCAGGATCCAAGGGACTGGCAAAGACACGGAACATATGGACAGGACTCCATCACAGCTGCCCTGCCTGCCCAGCGTCGCCTTCAGAAGGGAGTGACAGGGATTCCCTCGCCCCTTAAGGCCGCTTCCTCATGGCAAAGGGCATTCGGATCCGGGTCTTTGGTTTCTTCCCCAAATCCCTGCCCCAGATCCCTTGCCCAGAACCACTTGCCTGACACCAGGCTTACAGCCCCTTCCTCACTCACCACAGACCCTGCCCAGAAGGCACAGCCAGAGGCACGCAGCTTAGTCCAGGGCCCGAAGGAGAGCAGCACTCCCAGAGCGCAGCTTACAGCCCCCAGCAGGATCTGGATCACCTGCAAGACAGAGTGAGAAGCCAACTCCCTTCCCCCCAGCCCAGACGCCCCAGGACAGGCCACCCAGCTCCCGCCTAGCTGGCTGTCCTCTCCTTTTCCTGTCTTGACCTCTCTGCACCTCTGATTATGGAAGGTTCTGTCGCCTTCACATCCACGAAGCAGCGTGTCATGACTCTTCCCCTCCCTTTGACATGACTGGCTTTTTATCATTACTTTTTCCTCAATTCCACTTTTGGTCATCCCACTGGATGAGTCCCACTTTTTTCTCCTCATTCCCCCTTAAGAATCCCACCATCTTGTCCAGGAGAAGCCGAGAGGACCCCTTTCAAGAAGGAGGGTCAGTGGGCGGCCTTCAGGGCTCGTCAGCTCCAGGGTCCCTTCACCTTTCAAGCCACAGGTACTCTTCGGGGACGGCCACCCAGCCACCCAGCCCTTGGTGAAGCAGGCAGTGAATGCAACAGCCATTTCCACCCAACGCAGCTCTCCCATGAAGAGGCCGTCCCTGCCCCCGAGCTCCTCACAGGCCCTCATCAGGCCTGCGTCAGGATCTGGTGGCTCCCCTTGCCCAGTCTCTCTCCCTCCTTTCTCATTCCTAGGTGTGACCCTCCAACAGAACTTTGGCACATTTCACTCTGACTCTCGTCTGCTTCCTGGAGAACCCGGCTGTCACTCCCTCTTGGGAGTCACCACCTGCTCAGCCCACCAGCACCTCAGATCTGTCACATCCAAGTTCCACTCCTCGCTCGCACTTCCAGTGTCTGCCTTGCCACCTTCCAGGCCCTCTGGCTCCTGGTCACCAACACGCCAAACCTCACCATGTTCTTGGATTCCTCTCCTTCCTTGTACCCCGAGCCCACTCACCCCCAAGTCATGGAGATGTCATCTGCAGATGATGGAAACTCCTCTCTCTCCTTGTCATTTCTGCTGGGCCCAGGCAGGCGCAGACCCTCCACCCTTATTCCCTGGTCACTTCCTGGCTAGGAGGCAGGTTCGTAAACAGGGAGGCAGCCTTCCCACTACTGACGCTAATTCAGGACACTTCTCACCTTGTCAGTCAAGCAGTAGGGCCCTGGGCTGCATTTCTAGTCCGATCTGCCCTGAGTCCCATTCTCTTCACTCTGAAAGAACTTGACCAGTGCTTTCTGGCTTCTTCAACCCTGCTCCTGCCATTTTTCTTGACTGGCATTCCTTTCCTTCCATCTTTCACCTCTATCTGTCTACACATACTCTTCCTCCACACAAGGTCTGGCTCAGATGCCAACTGCCTCAGGTCGAACCCTAGGAATGTTACCTGCTCTACCTTTCATTCTAGGCATGTGTATGGTGGTGTGATCCCTTCTGACGGATGCTGAGCGTTTTTAGGCTATAGCCTAAGGACTCTCTGTAGTTTTCCCCGAAGTGCCTATAATATTGCCCTCATCTTCGGGCCCTCAGTCCACCTGGGTTCCATGAAATTCCGCTAACAGTCACCTGTCCCCCACCTCCTGCTGGGACCACCCCCACTGTACCAACGAAGAGGCCCATTGTTCTTTTCCATCTAAATGTGTGGGGCAATCTACCAAAACTTTCTTTTCCCAAAAAAAGTTGAGATACAAAGGGTAAGTTCTCATGAGGACTCAACCCACTTTTTTTTTCAACCCATTGAAGGGGAGTTACCATCCTCTGTAGCTCCCACTCTTCTTACCCCCAATGTCAGCTGCCCGTAGCTCATCCTGGCCTTGGAAGGGGCCGTGTCCCAAGGGTGAGAAAAGACCTCCTTCAAGGAAGCCCCAGCTTTTAACAGTTGAGCCAAAGCTGATTCCTGGTGGATGTGGATGTTGATGTGGCTGGGCTGGGACAGCGTAGAGGCCACATCGACCCCATTCACGGTCACCACGTTTTGGGTCATCCTGCCTGCTGGGAAGAAGTGGTACAAAAGTGAGGTCTGGGAAGCAGCGAAGATAAAAAGGAATATGTTGCATGAGTAAAGGGAGAGAACAGTCCCTTGTCAAGATCCAAAGGGTCTTCCCAGAGCAGGTAGCAGTGTCACAGTGGCCTTAATCTGGGATGCAAACCCAAATCACCTCTAGAGTTCTTCACCGCATATATTCCTGGACCTCTCCCCAGAATGGTCTGACACAGTCTGTCTGGGTCTCTGGTTGGGCAAGGAAAGGAATCTGAATTAGTTCAGGGACTTAGTATATATATTTATACATAATACTTCCATATGGTTAAAAAATTCAAAAGATACAAAAGGATATACCTTTAAAACCCTCCCTCCCATCTTTCTTTCCCAGTCACCTAGTTTCCTTCTAGTTGGAAACTAAAGTTATCATTTTTTACATATCCTACAATGACTTTTTTTGTATAGGAAAGCATATAAAATATATTCTCCTCCCCCTTTTCCCACAAAGAGCAGGAGACTAAACACACCATCTACACAATGATATGTTCACCGAACTATGTTTTGAAGATAATTGTACATCAGTCCATGAAATGCTTTCTCACTCATGTGTCTGGCTGCACAGCGTTCCATTATCGGAATGCATCATGATCGTTTCCAGCAGGCTCTTATTTTTTAAAAATTTTATTTATTTATTTGAGAGAAAGAGAGAAGAGAGAGAGAGAGCATAAACAGGGGGAGTGAGAGAGGGAGAGAGAGAGAAGCAGGCTCCCCTCAGAGCAGGAAGCCCAATGTGAGGCTTCATCCCAGGCCCATAGGATCTTGACCCAAGCCAAAGGCAGAGGCTTAACCGAGTCACCCAGGTGCCCCACAGTCAGCCCCTATTGATAGACATCGATTTCCTCTTGCAAACAATGGGGAATTACCAGGTCAATGGGAACATGCATGTGTCCTTTTAATAGATACTGCCCTGTGTGGGGCTACCCCATGCCATCCACAAGCAGAAGCAAGGTCAAAGCACATCCACTGCCCCTCTCCATGGCCAGCAGGAGGTGTCAGCAAATTTTTTAATCTTTTTCAAATGTCTATCAGGAAAATTACATCTTATTATTTTAAACTGATTTTAATCAGTTTTATGCAGCAAAATGCCCCCTTTTCAGGGGGCATCTCAGTGAGGTTTGACAAATTCATACATCTGTACAACCCCAACCACCATCACGGTAGAGAACATTTCTCTTTGCAAAAAATTCCATAATGTTCTGTCCCCAATAAACCCCTCAACCTCTAGCCCAAGGCAACCACTGATCAGCTTTCTGGACTATCCCAGTATAGTTTCAATCTATAGTTCTCTTATGATGAGTGATAGTGGACTGGTCATCTTTTCATATGTTTAAGACACTGTTTTTTCCTTCTTTTGTGAGCTCTCTGTTCATAGCCAAGTCCTTCTTGTTTTACTGCTATGTTTTGTATAGGATCTCGGGTATTCGAAAAATTATCATCTGTGACAGGATTTCCAGATATTTCTTTACAATTTCTGATCATTTTCTGGTTAACCAGTTTCCATCTTTATTCTGATTTCTGGGTTTTATATCATACTTAAAAAGGACTTTCCCACATCAAGATTATAAAATAATTCTCCCCTGTTTTCTTCTAAGTAGTGTTATGCTTTCAGTTTTCACATTTAAATGTTGATCCATCTGGGGTTTATCTTGTAAGTTGGAAGGTACAGATCCAAGTTGCTGTGGGGTTTCTTTCCCCAGATGGTTAACTTCTGAAGGGTATGTTCTGTTCGAGGAATATATTATCTTTCTCCTACTGATTTAAAATGTTCTCCTGAGCAAAAACAAAATTCTCCTGGGAATTCAGATCTATTCTAGTCTTTCTATTCTATTGTTGAGTGTGGTGAGTTAGGCACCATCACCATGATTTTAATGACGAGGATGGAGTTTAATATTTAATCGAACTGTTTCGTGACCCCCCCCCATGTTATTTTTTCTTTTATTGCATTTTTTGGTAGGTTACGTCTCCATACGCACTTTGGAATCAACTTGCCCAGCCCCAAAAGCAATCCTCCGCAGTAATTCTAATGGGCATCCTCCTTCAGCATCCCTGATGGAAATCATGACCGTTGTAACAATTCTAACATCAGCAAGATGGCGACCCTAGAGTCTTCCCTTGTATTCTATGTCCTTCAGAGCAGTGTCATTCTTGTACCCACCTGGGCAGAGTGGTACTCTAAAGGCAGAGTATAAAGCACAGGTGTTGGACAATTCTGCAGATGCACAAGTAGGTTCAGATTTGTTCACTGATACACTCAAGGATGCGTGCCCTGGATCAGCCAGATCTCCCCCTTGGGCCGCAGGAGCCAGCATCATGAGGCAGCCCTGAATGTGCCTTGGGCTCCAGCTCCCTAAGCCCCTGGGCACCACCACTTCCCCCACCACACTCCAACCCAGGCTCAGCCAAGCCCCCTGCTTGTCTGCTGGACCAGGCCGGTCCCGTGAGGACTCTCCTCCCATGCCCCCTGGGCTCCACGGTGTGAGGCTTGTCCCTGCTGCTCTGGCCATTCTCTCTGCCCTGCTCTTCCCAGTGTTTCTGGGGCTGGGGAGAGAGGAGCAGGACCCGTGCCACATCCGGGGCCCTCCACCTTCCGGCTTCACTCTGGAGGAGCTCTCACCACCCAGCCGCCTGAGCATCAGCCACTGCACCGGGCAGGCCCAGTGAGGCTTCTGCAGCCAGACACACGCCCCCACACAGGTCACACCCTGTCGAGGGCATCCCTCCGCACCCCTAGCAAGTCCTGTGGGAAATGGGAATGAGGAGAGAGCAGCATCCTGGGAGATAGGATGGGGGCTTTGGGGACCGGCCTTGGAGATTCCTCAAGAGAGCAAGGTCCAATGGTGAGAGTCTCCTGGGAAGGGGCCACCTGGCCTGTGGGGCCCTGCTCACCTGCTGTCCTCTGGGAGCCTCAGCAGAGCAGGCCTGGGAGGATCCACCCGCAGCTGAGGACCTGTAGTTGGGAAAGAGAAGAGTAGAGGGAAGGCGTGGAGGGAGGAAGGTCTGACCTTCAGCTTTGCAACTTCCCAGAAAACAGCTGGGGCAACGGGGCCCCTCTAGGGGGATTCCGTCTTGAGTTGATAACCAGGCTGGTGAGAAAGGCAGAGTGCACGCATGTGAGTATAAACACACACACACACACAAACACACACACACACGTACTCCGACTGACTCTCACAACACAGATGGGGCCCACACCCACAGCAGCCACAGACCCGTGTTCAGAAAGTACCTGCCCAAGTGGTCATTGGGGAGAAGACAGCTTCCCGGGCTTTCCCAGGGCTCTTCAGCTTTTTGGGCTCCCAGGCCTCCCACCTCTCACGCACGCTCTAGGCTGGAGCCCAGGGATGGGCAGGCAGCTGGAAACCCCCCACACGGGGGCCCCTCTGCCAGGCTGTCTTCTCCAAAGGATGCTGAAGTTCACCACGCCCCTCCCCCACCCTGCCCTTCTGGTGTTCCACCAACCTCCTCCTCCATTCCCTGGGTTTCCAGCTCCAGCCCAGGCCAGCCCAGCCCAGCCGGCCATCGCTGCAGGCACACTCACCCGCAGGGGTTCCTAAGGAGAGAAGGTGAGGCGGTTGACAGCCAGGCAGGCCTTTTCCAGGACCCCTCCTCGCCGGACTCCCCACCCAACCCCTCACAGGCCTCCAAAGCCTGGCCCAGAGCTTGCTGGGGATGGAGGGAGGGAGGGACCAACCGCCAGTGGAGAATGGACTCCGGGAAGGCGGCAGGAGCAGAGGCCAGTGTGTCCCTGCTTGATGCCCAGTCTGCCTGGCCTTGCCCTCCACCTTCACCCACAGCGTGTCCCTTCATTGCTGGGGGCGAGGGGCGGACAGCAACTTGAATAGGCCAGGCAGAGCCATGACTCTTGGTGGACAGGGAGGTATTTAGGGGCTGAGGGGTGTCTCCAGGCCCGTCTGCACAGTAGCTGCAGCAACAGGACCTGGGGTTCTGGGGTTCAGAAGCGGGGCCCTGGGGTTCAGCCCCACAGCCTGATGCCTCAGGGTGGGGATCGGGATGGCAGGCTGGCGGAAGAGGGTGGAGAGGTGAGGACTGTGGGGCATTGCTTGGTCCAGACCCTAACGCGGTGGGAGGATGAGGGGACAGTAGACCTGGGGTGAAGGGGGAGGCTCCAGCGGGCTCGGCCATCGCAACAACACCAGCACGGCCAGGCCGTCCTGACCCAACACCCTTGAGAAAGGGCCAGCAACTTTGTTCTGTGACAGGGACCCCCACCAGCTTCAAAGTCCAATGGGATCTTTGAACATGTCGTCTGCCAACTTTTCCTCGCTGTCCCTCCCCCTTCCTCTCTCTCAGACAGATGTCCGCAAACATGGAGACAGTTGACAGTGGTGAGGTGGCCCCTGGGGCCCCAGAGCCCACCCGCATCGACGTGCACATCCACCAGGAGTCAGCTCTGGCCACGCTCTTGCTACACGTGTGCTCCCAGCTTCGGTCCCCCACCCCGGACGCCATCTCCCGGACCGGGGGCCGGAGCCGGCTGCTGGTGGCCTCCTGGGTGAGTAGGGGCCCAGAAGGGCCCTCAGGCTCCCTGTGTCAGGGAAAGAGGACCCTGCTTCTGCTGTGCACACTCATGGCCAGCCTCTCCGAACTGGAAACTCAGCCAGTTCTATCTTCTTAGAAATCCGGATCGCCTGTGCTCCGTTTCTGACTCTTTTACTCACTCACCGTCCTTCTCAGTGAAAGCTGAAGGAGGGTGGGCTTTGGGCTAAGAGGGTGCAGGAGGGCCATGGCCATTTAAAGTCCTACTCGGTGGAGCCCTGAGCCACCCTCTCCCTCTGCCTGACCCAGTGTGGGCTCCGCCCCCTCCCCGCCCCCTCCCCACACTCTCTTGTGGTTCCAGCTGTTCACACCTGGAGGTGACTCCTGGGCCCAGGAGTCTGGGAGCCACGTCCTCAGGCTCTTTGTCTCCCTCCAGGTGGTGCAGGTCGTGCTGGGGGTGCTGAGTGGCACCCTGGGAGGCTTCCTCTACTTCTTCCACTCCTGCACCTTGCGTGACTCCGGAGCTGCCCTCTGGACAGGGGCTGTGGTGAGTCGGGCAGGTAGATGGTGGACGGGCCAGGAAGGGGCAGATTAGCCTCCTGTCAGAGGGGACAGACCATCACCATCATCACCAGGATACTGTAAAATGTGTCACTAGTCGAAAAGCCCCGAAGTTATCGAGGCTGATTCCCTGTTTCTACAGATGAGAAAATAGCCGAGGGAAACGGTGGTCTGACCAAAGTCACCCGGCCAGTGGTCACGGTTTCCCGCCAGCCTGGCCGCCTCCCCACCATGTTCAGCAGCAAACATCGGCCAAAGACCTGGGACCCAGCTCATTTCCAGACACTTGCCCTGAGTTAGGCAAGCAGAACGTACTGGAGTGTGTATATACTCTACAAGACGAGGGCAACCCCTGGTCATTTCCCACTGTCCTCTGCAGGTCCTCCATGTGGGGGGAATCCAGTGGGTGCCACGGAACAACAGTGGCGAACGTCCACAGATGCGTGTGTGCGATCTGGGGCTCGGGGGCAGGTGGTGGTAGCACCGAGAGGCCCTTCGGCACACCCGCACTCACAGCATATTGATGGAGAGAAGAGCCAGAATAATCATCCTGGTCCCCTCCAATGGCAAAACACTCAGATTAGTTCTAGCATCGCCAAACGGGATTCAAGTCTCCATCCTCCAGGATGCCCCAGACGTCCTGTTCTGTCAGCCCAGGTGGCGGGCACTGCCGGGACAGGCGCCTGGACCAGAGGCCACCCACAGACCCATCCTGCACGGAGAGCTTCTCCAACAACCTAGGGCTTCTGCGCCCCCATCGGAACCCCCATAAAGCACCATTGCTTTAAAAGGACGGTTTTGGAGAAGGGAAGGAGAAGGGAAGGAAGGCTCTTCGATGTCACTAAATCAGAGGGTCCTGACGCCTCAGGAGTTTAACCCAGAAAGGCAGACAACAAACAACAAATAACAGACAACAAAGCTTAGCTCAAAACCTTAGGTCCACATGGAGTGTCCCCAGGAAGGACGGGCGGATGGTTGGCTCTGTCTGTGGGGGTTACCGAGGGAAATGGACGCAGACAGCTGGAGGGCTTGCGTCGCCTGTGCTAGCCCCGGTCCTGCTTCCCTTTCTCCCCAGGCTGTGCTGGCTGGAGCCGTCGCCTTCATTTACAAGAAACGGGGCGGCATGTACTGGGTGAGTTTGGGGAAAGGCAGGGGCGGGACGCCAGGCCCAGAAGCTAGAGGCCACCCCTGCCCAGCCTCCTGCCCAGAGCGTGCCCGTCTCTCCCCAGCTGGGCTCCTGGAGACGGAGTCTCTCGGGTCTCACTCTGCCTCCTCTCCTCACCAGGCCTTGCTGAGGACCCTGTTCGCCCTGGCAGCTTTCTCCACGGCTATCGCCGCCGTCGTCATTGGGGCTCGTTATTTCCACGAGTACAAGTTTCATTTTAGAGACCATATCTGTCAAGTCTCCTCGACGGGTTTGTCCTGGGCCGCCGTGCCCCAGACCACCCCAAGTCCAGAAGAAACCAGAAGACTGCACCTGTGCCTTTCCTACCTGAGCATGCTGAAGGTAGGTGGGGGGTGGGCGGAGGAAGGGGGGCGGCAGGCTCTGGGCGGGGAGGGCCAAGATGCAAGAGCAAGGCCGGGTCCCCTGTTCTGCACACCCAGCTAGACTGCTGTCACCGCAGCTGTGGCACTGAACAGACTGGAAACAGTCCCCGTTGTTGGGGGTGTTCCAGACTCTTTGGACACGCGAAGCCTAAAATGATCATAAATGAACCAGTGCTGCAGGGGTGCGCAGTGCTCCAGAAGGATTACGTGCACAACCTTCCTGGGTCCTCTCCAGCCTCGGGGCTGCGGGGACACCGAATCGTAGCCCGAGCCCATCTCTGTTCCGAGGAGGAGGCCGAGGCCCGAGAGGAGGTGTTTCTGGCTGCTCTCTGTGTGCTGGACTCGTGAACACCCCCTCCCTCACGCACAGCTCCTTCCTCAGCCCCGCCAGAAGCTGCGGGTGTAAGGATGAAGCGGGGGAGAGAGGCCCTGTGTTGGAAATGAGGGAGAGCACAGAGCAGATGGCACAGTGACTGGCCCTCTGTCCCCAGGCCCTGTTCATAAGCTTTCAGGCCATGCTGTTGAGTGTCTGGGTTCTGTTGTTTCTGGCATCCCTGGTCCCCCTCTGTCTGTACTGCTGGAGAAGGTCCCAACGTGAGAAGGTGAGTCCCTAAAGCGCGGGTCTGTGTGTTGGGCAGCAGGGGTGTCCAGACGAGCAGAGATGGAGAAGACGTGGCTTGGGGAGGGAAAAGGACCCTTATAGTGAGCCCCAAGGGGCATCGTGCCTGTCTTTCTACCTCAGTGGGGGCCTGGCCCAGAGAGCCCCTGTCCCTGACCAAGTGGCCCCCCGGGACTAAGACCCCCAGGAAGCCAGGAAAGTCTGTATCCATGTGGGGACGCTGGGGGTCTTGGCATCAGGTACTGTGAGGCTAGTGCTTATCTGGTGGGCTCCAGAATGAAGCTGCTCTGGAGGAAAGAATTTGCACCTCCTCTCCCCATGCTATTTTGCCCCTCTGCCTCCCTTAAGAAACAGACCAGAAAAAACTGCTGGAAGTGAGGGAAACCCAGCTGTGCTTCTCCTGAGTGTTCATGCCTGGACTCTCTCTGGACTGGGCATCCCTGCCTCTGGCTCCTGGGAGAAGGACCGGTCTGGGGAAGGAGCCTGCACTAGCTCCACTTGTCCTTCCGCCACCCCCACCGCCACCACGGCCACGGCTACCAATCATGATACCAGTGTTGCCCATTTCTGGCTCACCTTCACCATCCCACCTGCTTCACAGCCCCTCATGAGGAGCGATGACAATAAACTATCTTGTTGTTTCTCCCAGCTTCTTGCTTAGTTATTCCAGGGACTTCTCTTGGCTGGGCAAGGCTTGGAGAGCGGGGGGGGAGGCGGTCAGTGCAAATCTACCAAGGTCCTCCATCTCCCAGCCCCGCATCTGGGTTTGGAGTTGCCAACCTTGAAAGTAAACTCTCCTGGAGGCTGGTTCTGGGACTGGAGGTCCAAATGCCCGGGCAGAAGGTGAAAGGGGGCAGGGACTCTGAGCCCCTCTCCCTACAATTCAGATGTAAGAGACTGAACGCAGGGCAAACTGAGAATTGGACTTTTGTTGTTGTTGTTGTTGTTGTTGTTGTTGTTTGTAAATAGTGAGAAATAGATGACATAACGCCAAGATGCCGTCACTTGGGAAATTATTTGTTAAAGACAGACGATGACATAGAAACCCTGAATTTGTCCCATGAGAAAGTACCCACAACTGCCAGACACAGCACGATTCGTGTAGGTTTAAGTTCATGGCTAACTTGAATAGGCCCCTGTAGAAGCAGGAGCATGAATTCAGAGTGCTGAGTCCTGAAATTGGTATCCAACTGCTTGGGAGTCCCGCAGGCACGCACACACTCAGTGTTCCACTGGAAGGATCCATAGGACTCTCTGCAGGGTTGTACTCACAGCTACATTTAGCCATAGCAGTGTCAGCAAGGGACGAAGGCATATTGGGTGGACTCTGGAGGAATCTGGGTTCAGGTGTCCTACATCCTCCCACCACTGAGACCACATAGTAACACTGTTCAAAGGTGGGGGAAAGACAGTAAAGTTTCCCCAAACTGAGAAGCACTTTGAGACCAGAAAACACAGAGGCCACTCCATAGAATTTATATAGAGTTTTATTGAGGCTCATGGACGGGTGGGGGTGGGGGCGGGGGGGTCCCTGGCAGCTGCAGAGTTACTCTCCTCAATGTCCAGACCTTAGTCCACAGATTTTGCAGAGTGATCACACATGAAGGAGGCCACTGTCGTGAGATCAAAGGGTTCACGTGCACATCAGACAGCTTGCGTGTTCCTAATTACAGCAACCCTTTGTTTAGAGCTTGTGACACTCCTGTGCATCAGAAAAGGGAAAGACTATGTTATCTCTAACAGATAGGGGATCTCCAAAACAAGCCTCCCCCCATCCCGACCTTGGCCAGTATTTCTAATCTAGCAAACATGAACAAGATGGGGGGGAGGGGCTCAAGGACGTAGCAGTATTGTCAGCACTCTTACAAACACATATGCAGTGTTTCTGCTCAGGGAAGGACACTGAAGACCCAGAGCCCAGGGTTTTTACTGGAGGCTGGTCACATAGGCACTTTCTCCACCTGCACAACCAACACAGATCCTCAGAAGAAAAGCAAGTGTCCACCTGAAATCACATTGTGTGTAAGTCTAGGCAAGCAGATTTGGTACAATTCAGCGCTGCAAGCACACAACAAAAACTTATCAGCATAAGAACATTCCAAAAGCCAAATTCTGAGAAGGCAGATAAGAGCCAGCCCTCCAAGCAGGGCCTGGTAAAGAGCAGCCTTTGTGTTAATGCTTTCCTGCTCACTGCTCTGGAGGTGTCTGTCAAATTCTGTAACCCAAAACTGCATTTAATAACCATGCTGAATAGGTACCTGGGTGGCTCAGTCATTAAGTGTCTGCCTTCAACTCAGGTCATGATCCCAGAGTCCAAGGATCAAGCCCCACATTGGGCTCCTTGCTCATCAGGGAGGCTGCTTCTCCCTCTCCAACTCCCCCTGCTTGTGTTCCCTCTCTCACTGTGTCTCTCTGTCAAATAAATAAAATCTTTCCAAAAAAAAAAAAAAAAGGCAATTAAAGTATTGGCAAAAGTAAGAACTCAGCAAAAAATTATTGGACAGATTTTTTAATCCCAAAGTGAACCTCCAGAATTCAAAGTTATAGTAATTAAAATAAACCCCCCAGTAAACAGATTAGACATAGCTGCAGAGAGAAATAGTAAATTGGAAGATAGGTCTGATGGAGTTATCTGAAATGCAGCTCAGATAAAAAACAGAGATGGAAAATAGCAATTTAAGAGACACTTTGATCTGAGGTATAGACAGAATTCCAAGAGGAAGAAATAGAGTAATAGAAGAGAAATATCAAATATAATGGCTGAGGAATTTTCTGAATTAATAAAACGCAAAAATTCTTGGGTAGAAGAAGCTCTACAGACACAAAGCAGGATAAATAAAAAGAAATCCTCATCTAAACACATCAGAGTAAAGGATGCCTGGATGGCTAGGTTGGTTAAGCATCCTACTCTTGGTTTTTGGCTCAGGTCATATCTCAGGGTGGTGAGATAGAGCCCAGTGTCTGGCTCCATGCTCAGCCCAGAGTCAGCTTGAGATTCTCTCCCTGTCTCTCTGCTCCCCTTCCTGCTTTCTCTCAAGTAAAATAAATAAAATCTTTAAAGACATCAGAGTTACATTTCAGAGAACAAAAAGAATGTATCAAAAGCAGTCAAGGGCAGTATTATATCACATCTGTCCTGGCAAGGAATGAGTAGATTAAAGGGGTATGAGGTCTTTATGCTGTTTGGAAAAGAAATTAAAGATGTTGATTATATTTAACATTTGTCAACTCATTCATTCATGTGTTCATTCACCTAACACCTAAATTTAAGTGTTTCAGTAATTCAATAGTAATTACTGAAAGAATAGGAAAAAAAAATCTTAAAACTTTAAATTTCTGCTTGGAGAAAAATATAGAATGAGGAAATTCAATTAATGCAAAATAAGAACAGAGAAAAGATAAAAAAAGAGACATTTTAAAAAGCAAAACAGGGGCGCCTGGGTGGCTCAGCTGGCTAAGTGTTCAACTCTTGATCTCAGCCCAGGTCTTGATCTCAGGGTGGTGGGCATGGAGCCTAGTTAAAAAAGAAGAAGGAGGAAGAGGAGGAGGAGGAGGGAGAGGGGGAGGAGAGGGAGAAAAACAAATAGAAAGCAGATAACAGAAGATGGCTATAAATTAAGTTATATGAGTATTTGCAGTAAGTACAAATGGACTAAATAGTCTCTTTAAAATGCAAAGATAGATTGCATTTTTTAAGAGATTTTATTTATTTCAGAGAAAGAGAGAGAGTATGAGCAGGGGGAGTGGGACTGGGAGTGGGAAAGGAAGAAGCAGACTCCCTGCTGAGCAGGGAGCCAGATGGGGGGCTTGATCCCAGGACCCTGGGATCATGACCTGAGCGAAAGACAGATGCCTAACCAACGGAGACACCCAGGCACCCCAAGATAGACGGCATTTTTATAAAATTCACCCATATACTGTTTACAAAAAACACATCTAAAACAAGTCAGAAAGATTTTGAGGGTAAGAGGATATAAAAATTATATATTTTAGGGGCACCTGGGTGGCTCAATGGGTTAAGCCTCTGCCTTCTGCTCAGGTCATGATCTCAGGGTCCTGGGATCGAGTCCCACATTGGGCTCTCTGCTCCGCAGGGAGCCTGCTTCCTCCTTTCTCTCTCTCTGCTTACCTCTCTGCCCACTTGTGATCTCTCTCTGTCAAATAAATAAAATCTTTAAAAAAAAAACACACAAGAACAAGAAAGTTTTTTAAAAAATTACATATTTTATATATAATACAAATATTTTTTGTTACATAAAAATTAAGTTGCTATAGCTCTGTTAAAATCGGACTTTGAGGCAGAAAGCATTCCTACAGATGAAGAAGCCACTGTGGTCAATGAAGCAGGCACTCTCTCCTTCCTTCTCCCATTTCATCCATTCCCTCCTGGAAGCAGGAACCTGTACCTCCAGCTGGAGGAACCATCTTGTAGCCAGAAGGGTACCATCCATGGGCTGGACATAGTTCAAAGGAAGCCCAAAGAAGCCCTGTGCCTTCTATAGCATCACTGCATGTGCAAAACCAGCCCCGGATTGCTCACCTTTTAATATATGTATATGAGAAAAATTAATTCCTTACTGATTTTTTAAAAAGGAGAAAATAACTTCTTAAAGAAGCTATTTACAATAACAATGAGCTACTTATGATCAAACCTATATAAATCAAGACATTAATAAGATTATTAGGAAATGTTTACAAATACCTTAAAAAATAGAAATACATACACCATGTCCATAGAAGGAAGGACTTAGTTCTATAAAGACAGCATCTCGCTTCAAATGGATGCATAAATTCAGTGCAATTCCAATTAGAATCTCAACAGATTTAGTACTTGCTTACCAGATTCTCCAAGTGACACAAACCAAAAGACCAAGAAGAGCAAAGACAACCTCACTGTCCCATGAAACCCAAATAAGGAGTTGGACAAGGCAGGCATTCAGACCAGGCAGCTCCCCAGCTGGCAGAGCCAAAAGAGAGACAACAGGGAGAATGAAGCAAGCACGGTCCTCTGGTCAAGTTCTGAGTCTGAATCCAGAAGACCAGAGCACAGATCTCAGCACAACGTTAGGTCAGTTACAAATACCTTCTAAGCAATAGTCTTCTCACTTCTTTTTTTTTTTTAATTTTTAAAGATTTTATTTATTTAGTCAATCAGAGAAAGACAGTTATCATATGATCTCCCTGATATGAAAAATTTGAGAGGCAACATGGGGGGTTTGGGGAGTAGGGAAGGAAAAAATGAAACAAGATGGGATTGGGAGGGAGACAAACCATAAGAGACTCTGAATTTCACAAAACAAACTGAGGGTTGCTGGGGGGAGGAGGGGAGGGAGAGGGTGGTAGGGTTATGGACATCGGGTAGGGTATGTGCTATGGTGAGTGCTGTGAAGTGTGTAAGCCTGGCGACTCACAGACCTGTACCCCAGGGGCTAATAATACATTATATGTTAATAAAAAATTAAAAATAAAAAAAAAGAATTTATTTATTTATTTGGCAGAGAGAGACACAGTGAGAGAGGGAACACAAGCAGAGGGAGTGGGAGAGGGAGAAGCAGGCTCTCCACTGAGAAGGAAGCCCAATGGTGCCCCAGTCTTTTCACTTTTAAAACAGAAGCAATTATGCCTAAAATCCAGGGATA